TGTTAATTGAATCAACAAAAAGGCTTGTAAATCACAAAAGAACAAATAATATTTTTCACATTAATTTTTAATGTATTTATTAATAGCTATTATTTAAAAATAAATTCATTTTGCAACACGTTTTTTTAATTTTGTTATAATACTTTATTGTAAATCCCACATTATTTGTGGAGAACATCGCACATATTTGATCCTAAATAGCATAAAGTAGCTAATGGAAAAAATCCACGCGTACGCTTGTTCACTGAGCATAGGTAAAATAAAAAAAAATTCAATAAAAAAATATATATAATCAAAAATACAAAAAAAAATATAAAATCAAAAATATACAAAAAAATTAAATTATATATATACATATATATATATATATATATATATATATATATATATATATATATATATATATATATATATATATATATATATATATATATATATATATATGTGTATATATATATATATATATATATATATATATATATATATATATATATATATATATATATATGTATATATATATATATATATATATATATATATATATATATATATATATATATATATATATATATATATTCATAAAAAATTTTTACATAAAACGTAAGAAAATTAAGTAAAACGTATTTGTAAAAGGAAATATGTATTTGCTATGCATGTATTTAAAGAACGAGAATTGTAAACCATAGATATTGTTATTTATAAATCTATAAACAAAATACTATTCTATGAAAAAAGAGAATTATATAAAGGTTAATTTAACGAGTCTCTAGATAAGGAAAGATGAAGAGGAAGTGTTGAGGAAGAGTTGAGGAAGAGTTAAGGAAGCTGAGGAAGTATTAAGTATTAAGCTGAAGAAGAGTTAAGTTTAGTGAAAGAAAAGATTTTAATGAGACATCGTTAGTTAAAAACACATTCTAGTACAAAACTTTTTTAATCTTGCTTGTGGTTTCGACTATTTTATAAATTATTGAAAGTTTGAAGAATGTAAGTCGTCACGTCTAAAACTTATTCTAGTGCTTCTTCTCCTACTTCTTCGAGCACTCGAGAAAAGACGCAGCGCGATCTAACTTATCGAATAACAACTCAAACGTGTTGGCAAGGATTTTAGTGTAAACGAATTATCTTAAAAAAACTTGTGAATGTTTTGAAAGTAACTCTAGTCAACTTTTTGAATTTGCAGTGATCAATAATTCAACTGCAGTTTGTCCGCAAAGTACAATTTAATATCCTACGAAATGAATGTCAGAGTGAATTTATCATGCTTGGAAAACATCTTGTGACCAACAGAGGTGAGTTTGATTCCTATTGTTAGAGTAAGTCCATCAACTATTTTTACGAAAATGTCGATGGACTTACTCTCAGATATAAACCTATTGGTCAACTGGAAAACAATGTTCAAAAAGGTGAACCAAACATTTCACTCTCTAACCAAACCTGACGAACCAACTGAGGCAAACAACGAAAAAAAAGAAAGTAACAACATAGCAAGTATAAACATTGATGACAACAGTTGCAGCGTTGACATCAATGTCCATGGAGAATAAAAAAAAATGAAACTTTTATTTAATAAAAATAAAATTTTTATTTTAAAAGAAGTAGTTTTAGGAAGTGGGCAATACGGGGTCGGAATAGGGTTGGGTTAGCTCCAATTACCTAAACATTTTGCAATTCATCCTTATTTGATACCAGTACTAACGTACTAAAAATGTGAGTATGCTACATAGCTCTTAGTTACCTATCATGAACATCAAAGTTACAAGACACTCGCCTAAAATACGTGATTTCTTCCGAGGCCCACGGTGAAAAAAGTTGTTTTTCACATTTTTGAAATAAGGAAGAGTCTTCTGATAATAAATGAAAAAAAAATTCTGGGGATATGTTGCAAGATCTCAGAGCATCTTCAAATGCACCGTGCTTAACTTTTACAAAGAATATTGCTCTTTGTTTATTTAATTAGTTTAAATCTAGTAATTTAATAAATAAATGTTTGTTCTTGGTTTTTTGCTTATCTGTTTTCATATTCTTAAGGACTACGCAACTTTGCTAAGCAAGTTGTTTTTTTTTTTGTGCAATTGGTAATAGCAAATGGCTCTAATAAATAACTGAAAGCTATTTTTTAGAGCAAGTAGATAGAACTGAAGTGCTTTTTTGTCACTTCAATTTACTTTATAGTTTTTTTATTATTATAAGGGTTAGTAATCATAAAAATAGTGTAGGGGAGAGTGGGGAGCAAGCAGCAAAGCGGTAATGCGAATTAAAGGCATCAGTTACTCAAAATTGATCAAAGTTGTTGCTTATCATTTAGTCTAACTATTCATTCACAAATCTTTAAAAACATTTTTTTTAAACCTGATTATAAAATAATAATTTAGTGCAAAAACAAATCCTGTTGTATTAGGAGTTATTCTACGTACGTAGTGTAATCCCAAACTCAGTGTGGGAAAGTTAAAAAACTGTTTTGTAATAAAAAATAAAATGCTTAAAAAACTGTTTTGTAATAAAAAATAAAATGCTAATTGTAAATATTAGGGGTAAAAGTTACAGGTAAAACCTTAGGTTACGCTTGCTTTCGCTAAGCCTTTCAATTCTAACATATAATCCAGTCTTCCAATGCACTATGCGTCGCAAAGCGGAAATAGTGTTTTACTTACCTTATTATAAAAAAAAATTAATTTTGTTTTTTTTAATAATATTAAACCAAAACAAATTTGCAATAATTAATAAAAAAATCTTTGTTTCAAATTTTTTTAAATTTGCCTTTTTAAGTTCATGGTTTTCAGGGGTAAAAAAAATCCAGGTTTTTACTAAATCTTTATATTACATACAATAATTTCAAAATCTCCTCAATTTTTTTTTGTATATTAGCAAATAAATAATGTATTTTGTGAATTAAAAACTGAGATAAAAAAAAAAATATATCTGGATCATTGTTTTTGTGTGTCCGAAAAGATTAATTAGTTACACCATGTTACTACAGAGGTAGCTAGTTTTTTATTCATTTTAAATCTGAGGTAAATAAACTTTATTGAATATATTGAATAAATAATATTCTCGCTACCTCTCTAGTAAGATGGTACAAAGTCAATTAATTGTAGTAAGTTAAAAACCGTTTAGTTAAAAATTATAAAATACAAAACTGAATACGTACATTTGTTCTTAGTCTTTAAGTTATAACTTCTAAGTTAAGCGTGCTATAATGGTTACTTTTAATTTGAGTAAACTTTTGTTTGATAATTTTTCTTAAAGAATATTTTCACAAGATATTTTCAAGGGTTATTTCCAAAAATGAGTTTAATCTTGAGTATATTAGTTTTTCAAGGAGCTTGCTAAAAAATTAGGCGCGAAAATAAACGCAACTACGAAATGCAATCATGTAATACTATCACAAAATACAATCACGAAAACTACAAAGACGGCGTCTAGCTTAAAGATTAATAGATAATCCACATCCTTTAACGTCTGTTAAAATAAATTATCATTGATTACTAGCTGATGTGACCCGTAAAAATACGGGTCTTTCTTAAGTATATTTCACACTGAATTTTTCTATACTTTTTCCTTATAAATATATCCTAGCTTTCCGAACCCATAAAATACGGTTCTTTACCAAACCTACCTGTTCTATACTTATCTATTCCACACTGATCATTTCTATACCAATGATTTGTTTACTTCAATATTTTTACGTAAAATAATTCATTTAAAAAAATTACTTTAAGAGCAAAAAAACTGACATGCGCACCGATTCAGCATACTTTAAGCTTATAAGTGATTTATAATTAGCTCCTAAATGTATATCATTACCAGCAAAGTGGTTTAGTGCGCTCTTATCAGGGTCGTTTTGGGAGAACAAAGACCTCTCCTAAATAATTTTGAATAATTTTTGATCTTGATTTTAAAAAAGAAGTATGAGATCTTAAGCCCGTTTAGTTGGCGATTTTCATTAAACTTGATGAGCTATTTTAATTTTTTATTTAACATACGACTCTGCGAGGGAACATTTTGATCTTTTTGTTTTGTTCAACAGTGAAACCTAGCGTTGCGTAATTTATGCACAGTCCCTTATTTAAAAGTTTAAGTAAGGGATTATCCATAATATATTTAGCTAGCCAAAAGTATGTTTAGCCAAAAAAATAATGGAATATAGTACTATTTTAAAAATTATTTAAATTCTACCGTTGTTGTGCACTCGGTTTAGTATGTTTAACGGGGGCGTGGTAAAATAGCTGTAAAACGCTAAATTTATTTATTGTAATATTAAATAACTTTAAATTTAAATTACTTTTAAAAATATTTAGTTTTACAAAATGATTTAGTTTAAGTATAAAAATGAAATTTTTAATTATTTTCATATATAAAACATACTTTTTAAACTTCCTTGCTGTTTTAAAAGTATGTTTTGTTGTTGAGGTTTTTGTTATTTAACAAGCAAAACAAAAAAACTTTACAGTTCGATAGATTTTATATTCTATATATATACATGTTTTAGACTTGATTTTCTTGCACAAACTCCACTTAGTTGCAAAAAAACTTGAAATGTAAAAATAAAATAACATAAGTATAGGGTTGGCAAACAACCAGCTTTCAAGTAGGAAAACACAGTAAAATATTTATTTTTACAGGTTTGGCGCTGTATTCTCCTCTGTAACAGCGAGATGTCTGGCAACCCTAAATAGATATCTCAACCATGACACATACGCAACAAATATTCCCACGTTTTTTAATGTTTTTAGAATTTTTAACTTTTTAAAAATCGTTTGAATTGTTAAAGTGTATAATATCGTTAGATAGATTTGTATATAATCTTTATAAGACTTCAGAAGTATTTGTATTTTAAAAATCTAATAAAATTAAAAAAAGAGGTTGCCGGTGGTTGATCTCGAACCACGCCTTCTTTGCTCATAAGCTCAGCGCGCTAACCACTCTGCCATGTTAGGACGATGACAACTGAAATTTTAAAGCTATATAAAAATTTTTAAGCAAAAGTAAAACTATAAAACTTAACACATGTTTTAGTCTGTTTTAACATTACATAATTTGAAGTTTACGTACGTTAGATATTTGCATACACTTTTGTTCACGTTTTCTTATAAAATAAAGCTGCTGCAACTCTTTCCCACCATTACCTCGGTTGCAATGGCTGCCAAGAGTTCTGTGTCAAACAGGTTCGAAAGGGCACAACTAATATTAAATTCAATATTTTTAAATAGATTATTTTTTAAATATAAATAAACTTAAAAATTTCAACAAAATTATTAGCAATTTTTTTTTAAGAGCACTTTTATTACATGCATAACAAATCCATTTGTAAATTGTAGAATGTAGGGTTGAGCTTCTACCAAAAAAGTTTATCGGTTAATCGTTTATATTATTTTATCAATATACCACTGAAATTATGTCGCTAAATTTCGGTAAATAATGATTTTTATAAAACCTAAGAACATTTATAAATTATACATTTATATTTTTATAAAAACCTTAGAACATTTTCCCAAATAACCAATTGAGCATCGGTGGAACAGCAATTAGAGTTCGGAGGTTCAACGCCTACTCTAGCCCAATACGTAACATTGGTGAGGAAAGAGGCGTGAATTTCCTTGTTAAATATCCGCGGTGCTCTGTGATAACACCATAAAGACTTCTGGGAGCTCCTCATTAAGTAAAAAAAAAAAAAATTAAAGCAGCGACTTCAAGACTTATAGCACTGGGTGGATTTATTTTCCGTGTCGTTATTAAAAGCTCTTTGACTTGACCTGCAATGTGCAAAAAAAAGCATGGTTTTTCAAAAATTAGCAGGTGAGCATTAAAAGATTTGCAGTTGAGCATTAAAAGGTTTGCAAAACATGAAATGTAAGGTTTGCAGTTGGCGTGAGAAACAACCGTAAACTCTTTAAGATTTTTACTGAACATTAAAAAACGGTTTTTGACTACACTGGACGAAAAAACTTCTTTGAAAAAATGAAGATGCACGAAAATTAATATTCATCGAAAACACGATTACTGAAATCTAGGCTTGATTCTGGATATCTGCTGGCTGAAAAGGTTGCAACAGTTGTCACAGAAAGAGTAAGCAAACGTGTGTTAAACATTGATGACAGCATTGTGTGCTCATGATGGTTAAGTTAAAAAAACTGGTCTTAACTGAGCATCAAACGTGTCACTCACGGGAAATGCATTTTAGGGTTCAAAAAGTGCTATACAAGAACACTTTCCGAAAAATTTCGATGTTCTTGGTAATTCCATGGATGAAAATGTTTGCAATCCAAAAGTGAATGGACATTTGCAATCTTTCATTACAAAAGTCAAAAATATTGTCATGTGACTTAAAAATGATTTTCTCCAAAAAAAGGATTGAGAAACAGTTCGGATAAAGAAGTTTTACGTATCTTTGACTGCAGAACAAGATGGAACAGCCTCTGGTTTAACAGATTCCTAAAGATAAAGGTTTCTCCTCATTTGACTGGCAGTGATCACAAAGATTTTTTTAGTGATGATAATACTTTATACGACGTTGATGCTGCTTTTAAGCTGAGCCATTTGTCAACAAAATTCAACCCTTCTTGCAGCTTGAGGAATTTTTAAGTTTCTTGTGAACAGACTAAAACAACAAAATTTAATTCTTTGCATTTCAATAAAGAGTGCAGTTTTGATACGTTTAGTAAGTAATCTTGTAAGCTTGTACATAAACTTTTCAAATCCAAAATGTTTATCCGACATTGAAGAACATAAAGTTTATAAAATGATTGCGAAGTCTGTACTTCAAGAGAATGCTTAAGATTTGTTGACTAGGTTTTTTCCAACATATCCACATAACTTAAAACTCAAGAAGTGTGTTGCTCAACAAAATTTGACAAAAACCCTCTTTTACTTAAAGTTGAATTTGAGGATGCAATATAGAATTCACGCACAAACAGCGCCAAAAATCAAATAAAAAAGTCGAAACCAATTCAAAATAACTTTTTTTCAAAGTACTAGAGACTCTGCATTGAACCAAACATCGAATATTGAACATATTTCTCCAATAAGAATTGTGTTTGAGCGAACCTTTTTTACTGCTGATTTTTTTGTGACAAAAATTTGATCCAGAATGACAACTTTCTTGATAAACTTTGTTTCCTCAAAGCTCATTTTTATTAATATTTAAATTATTCAAAAAAATATTAGATCTAAATCTTAAAAAGATTTTATTAAAAAAAATAAATAAATAAATATAAGTTTTTATGACTGTTTAATTTTTTACCAATTTTACCAATATTTAATCATAAATTGTGCATTTTTTACTGATTTACTGGTAACTTTAAAATGTATGTAAAAGCTAAACCACAGTTCATAGTACGCAAACAATAAAAAGTATAGAATTCTTTAGGTTTTATAATTAATTTTCATTTACAATATTCAAATTAATATAAATAAATACATAATTACTATTCAAAAATAAAATTTTATAAACTTTTGAATATTATATTCAAAACAAGTGTTAAAAATTGCAAATTTTACTTTTGTTGCATTGGAGAAAAAATCAATTAAATTGTCAGGTTTTGATCATATTTTTTATATATCATGTTTTGAACAAATTATCATCTTAAAAAGACTAGGCCATATGACATATGTTTTTGACCGCAAACAACATAAATTTGTAACTCAAAATTTCTAATGAAGCAAACTTTTTGAATTAAAAATCCAGCTTGCATATAAGAAAAAATAAGTAAAATAGACACCAAACCATATTGTATGTGTATTAAAATCATAATGTGTATAAATGCAAGTAAAAAACTTATTACGAACTAATTAACATTTTAATTTACGTTTTGTATTTTTAAAAAAATGACATTTTCTCAAATTCAAATTGTGCATTCTAAAGATACTATAAGATATAAAGCATTTAAAATGGTATACATTCATACTAACTAAAAACTACTTTTTTGACAGCCTTTACCTGAGAAAAACCATAAAGTTTTAAAAGGACTTTGGTTCTAACTTTCAAACTAAAGCAGTGATATTGATAATAAAGTTGTACTTGTTTTATGTATCACAGAATACATATTGTCTGTTCAAAATAAAAAAAAAATAAAAAAAAAGCACATTGTGTCTTAGTTCTGCTTGATAAACCAGGGGCGGATCAAGCATTTTTTGATCTTTGAGATATCTAATTTATACTTATTTCAAACAAATGTGCTTTGGAAGAAACTGCGGTTATTGGAGCTTGGGAACAAATAATCCCCAAAATTTTTGTTCCCCTCCTGTCCCAAACGTGAGAGCATCAAGTTGATTAAATATTTTTTGTGCTATTTTGAACAAGACTTTCGTCGAGAATTTGTAAGTTTTATTGTATTATTTCTCAGCGTTCAAAATTCATGACCATATAAAATTTAGTATTGAACAACGTTAACTTGGAAAATCACATTAACTCAGTTGCAGCAAAAACCAATAGAACGGTAAAGAACACTTTTTGTCGTTTAGATGAAAATTTAATGAAATTTTTTTACAAGTCATCAGTTTATTTGCACCTGTAATATGCAGCATTTGTATGGAATTCTTATTACCAAAAAAAGATTGATAAACTCGAAAACAAGGTATGGCTACACGAATAACTAGTTTAAAAAGAATTTGATATGAGAAGATTTAAGTTGATTACTTTAAAAACCAGTTGAGCTATATTATATGTTATTATTAATTCATTATAAAATAAATAAAAATATAAAGATAAAGTTTAATGGAATTGTCCTCCTATATTAACTCAGGATGCAACAACAACAAAAAATTGGCGCATAGATGCACTTATTTATCATTATTTAACTTTATTTTTTAAAACTTGACAGTAAATCTGATAATAACGATATTTGTTAAAATATTTTTTTTGTAAATAACTAATTATATTGAGATTTCCCTTTTTTTAAAATACCAAAAAAACAACGATTTAAGCACTAGACTCTTTAAAATATAAAAATAAATTTTTTATTCTATGTTTTCTAATTTATTATCTATTTTGTCTTCATTGTCGCTATTTCCATATATTTTATTTAAACTTTACTTTTTAATGCTTAGCAAAAATTCGCGGATTCTTAGTCCTAAATGCGTAAGTATTAAGTTGTTGCATTTTATTGACATTTTTTTTGGGATTTTTAATTCATTTCCAAATAATTTATTATTTTAAGTATTTTCTTACCTTTTCATCCTTGGGAATGGCCATTTTTGTTTTCATTTCTTTCTCAATTAACAAAGTTTTATTTTCAAGTTCTTCCATTTTTTTTGTTGTTAAAACGTGGTTTTGGTTTCTCATTTCCTGCATAATATAACATACCTTACAATATTGATAAATAATATTAATAAAAACTAAGATAAAAAATTATATATATTACATGTAATATATATGATTTTTTATCTTTTATCTGTGTAGTTTTATCTGTGTATACACAGATCAATACGAATAAAGTATAAATTATACTAAGATTACATTTATAAGCATATATTTGCATTCACAAATTTAAACCCCAATCAATTTTTTTCAGCCAACCAAATAGGCATGGGACTTAAAAAAGATGTCTTTTGAACGTTCAAAAGACGCCCTAAATGTTTAAAAGAAGTTCAATAATCGTCTTTTTTACGTCCTGTGCTTTAAGAGAATATTGCCTTCAAGTAACATCTTCAAGTAACTTTTAAAATCATCAATTCTCAGCTAAAATATTGTTCTGTTAAATATCTATATTTAAATGACATAAAGGAAATATGTAAGATCCATAAATTAAATGTGAAAAACGTAATTCAGATTAAGAAGAAAGTGAGCATTAGCATTTTAGAAAATATAATTCCTGAAGATACTTATCAACAGCGAACAACTTTCAAATATACCCTTGAAGTGAAATATACATTCTAAAATGATTTTATTCTCTTTTTATACATCTTAAACTATTTTTATGTATTTGTAAACATATTTACAGAAGATGTTTAATAAAATAGTAATAATAATAACAATAATAACAATAATAGCAACAATTATAGTAATAGCAATAATAATAATAATAATAATAATAATAATAATAATAATAATAATAATAATAATAGCAAAAATAATTATAGCAATAACAACAATAATAATAATAATAATAGTAATAATAGTAACAAAATAGAAAAAAATAAGTTTAGTACGTTTTATTATTTATAATGAAATATAAATAACTGTTAGAAAATGATTTTTCAATAATATTTACTAAAGCTTAATAAGTAAAGTTATCTATAGCGAAGATTTAATGAAAATTTTTTTGTTAATTTCTTTTTAAAAAAACTGCAACTTAAGTTAAGTAAGTTGTAAAAATAACCATATGTGGTTACTTTTATTACTTATTTAACCTTACATAATATTTTTTTAAAATTCAACGCAGTCAATACTGAATTAATTTATTAATTCAGTATTGACTTATGAAAAACTTTTTGAAGAGTTATTCAGCTTTAACTTATTTTAGAAAAGGAATGTGACCTTAGAGTGCGTCGTTTATCTTTTGTCTATTAAATTTTATAAACTTAGTTTATTTTAGTATAATGATTCTTTAAAGTTTCAGAAAATGCAGGAAAAAAAAAAAATAAATAAATTCGTTTTAAAACAATTGTTCATTAGTTATTATTACCCAGCAGGCCCATACAGTTTCATTTTCGGAATTAAAACCTGTATAGACACGTATTTGTTACGAACCAAAAACACGTTTATTTCTTGGGGAAGAATATCATATATAATTACATAAAAATATTTTTATATTTTAATTTGATAATTCAAATATAATGCGCAAAATATCACTAGTCGACTATCTTACAGACAACTTATGAGTCTTATAGGATTGCATATAATCTTATACTATCCTACAGGATATCTTACAGGATTTGTAAGATTTTATTTGTCTTTCAAATCCTATAGGACCATAAGAAATCCTGTGATTACCCATAGGGTATCTTAAAGGATTCGTAAGATTTTATTTATCTTGCAAATCTTATAAGATCATAATAAATCCTGTGATTATCCTGTAGGGTATCATAAAGGATTCGTAAGATTTTCAATTTTTTTAATTTATTTTGAAAAATGAAAAACTTAGCGGTAGTGGGTTTCGAAACCCGGATCACTAGACCATTAATGCCTTACCACCTGCGCTACACAACATTATAAGTATGGAAATAAATAACAATATATTATAATTACAAAATAATTAAAAACTATTTTTATTGAATGAATATAAATAAAAGTGTTGTAAAAAAAATAAATAATAACAAATAACTATATATATATATATATATATATATATATATATATATATATATATATATATATATATATATATATATATATATATATATATATATATATATATATATATATATATATATATATATATATATATATATATATATATATATATATATATATATTTTATATATATATATATATATATATATATATATATATATATATATATATATATATATATATATATATATATATATTAATATATATAAAATGCCGCCAAGAACTGTTTCGCCGCCCGGGACAGCAACATGATTGGCGTTCTTAATTATCGAAATTCTCCTATATTATCGGTAAAGGACCTTTGTTTCAAGGTACCTTTATTCTATTTGGTGCCTCTTGGAAATCTGCCGCCCGGACAATCTGTCCTTTACGTTAAAATTAAATTATTACCAAAAAAATCTAGTTGAATTAAAAATTTTTCTCGCAATCAGAGTGCACATTGAATTGCGTGACTTTCTGAGTAAATTGAGTCGTAGAGTGACGTGATTTAAATCATTAGGCATTATGAATTGCGGGAAAATAAATAGCACTCAAGTGCTATTTATTTTCCAGCATTTTTATGTAGGTAATGTTATTGGGCAGCAGCTTTAAGGCTTACCTATTTTTTATAAGTTGTTGGCACAGGGTGGGAGGGGGTTATTTAGAAAATCATACTTTCAGTGCTTGGGTTTTTATTAAATTTTCTATTTTTCTTAACCTATTTTGAAAATTTGGGATCAATTAATTTAACTTGTTGGATCATGATCCAGATCCAAAAAAGTAGGATCTTGGACTAACAACTTCTCATACTTCATTTATTAAAATAGTTATAAATATGTAAGTATAAAAAAAAGCTTCTTTGAAAATATGAAACTTCAGGATTACAAAGAAAAGCCAGAATTCAAAATTTAAGTTTTTGACCAGTAATTCGTTTGAACGAATCTATCGGGTTTTAAATTTTTAGTTAATGATTAATTGCCTGATTTCTATGATTTTTTTTTTATATATCCTTATTTTTTATTATAGAACCACAGTTCCTAATGCAATAATACGAAATCTTAAAGAGCAACTTGCAACAGTTTTTGCCAATTACTCGTGGGCGTGCGTCAGACGAAGTCTTAATCAGAGCGGCCTAGATAGGAAGAAAAAACGAAAGTAATCAGCAATGCAATTATGATTCTGTAACAATGATAATATGTGAAAAATTTCTTTTATACAGAATGATTTTTTTTAAATAAGAAAATGTTATTTCAAACTTTAACTTACCTATTATCAGTAATTAAAAAGAAGAATAGACATACTTTCCTTCCAATCAAAATAAAAACCTAACTTCGTATGTTCTTAGTTTGGTTATTAGATTTATGATATTAATTATAAAATAATAAATTTTATGGTTCCTATCATTGGCGTATTAAGACTTTTCAGGACCCAGAGTCCTTTTTAACGTGCCACAGCATAAATATGACTAAAACAGTAGAAAAAGAAAAAGGTCCGCTTAATATTCGGGGGCTAGGGCCCTAAAATTTCGGAATCCTGAAATTTTAGGGCCCAAGCCCCCTCCTCTTTAATCTATCACTGGTTCCTATAGGAACCAGTGCTGGATTAAGGGGTAGGGCTACGGTTGTATATATACGAATCTAAAATTTTCCTTCAGCATCCTATAAGAATCTTGTTAATCCTGCAAGATCTTTTAAAATATTCTTGTAGATCTTATATTATCTTATGAGAATTCCTTCAAATCCTACAAGATCCTTCAAAAGATTCTTGTAGGTCCTGCAGGGACTTGTGCATATCATTCTCTGGGATTCTTGTAGGATTTGTAAGCTCAGTCGTCTAGTGATGTATGCTACATACATATTTTGCTGCATATATGTAGCAAAATATGTATACGAAAGTAGCGTTTACGGAAGTCGCGCTTGCGAAACGAGCTCTTTCGTTAAACTACGTTTTGAAGTCTATAAAAAAAATCTATTGGCCAAGCGGATATAATTATAAAAAAAATTAAATTTTTCATACCAAAATGTTTAATAAAAAACTTTACTATGTAACAATACTTTTCAGTATTATTACATAGTAAAATTTTAAGGTTTTATTTTTTTGAAAAAATTATAAAAAACCAAATTTCTTTCAAAGCGAAACTATTTCGCACCGCAACTTGCGAAACAGTTTTTAACGGAAAAAAAACTTACGAAACGCAGCTTAAAAAATATATTTAACTACCTCTTATGAATCAAATAGGTATAATTAAGTAACTAAAATACTATTTAATATACGATTATGGTAAGTTTCAAATGTAAATTTTTATAAATAAACCTAGATAAATAAAATAGACTTTCATAAAATATACTTTTTAAACTGCCATTTAAACGTTATTGCAGCTATAAAACTGCTTGAAGTTTTAAAGCGCAGTCTATTTTGAAGGGAGGTGAAAAATTAATTGCAATATTTTGTCCCAAAAAAACGGGCAAGTTTATTTCAACCCTTCCATGGATTTTCGCCCCAAGAAACAAAAAAAATTTTAACATGGAAGTTCACCAGAAATATACAAGCGCTTGAAAGTTTCAGAGTTGCTAGTCTAAAAGGCAGTGATAAATTTATTGCAATTTATAGTATGAACTGAAAACGGCCTAACAACTCAAGAAATTAAATTAAACTTTGCAATGGGACCAAATATTTAACTGGATTTTTATTTATGAGAGTATTAATAGTAAATCTGCATTTCTGCAAAGTTAAAAGCAATAAGCAACCAAAGCCGGTATTTAAAATATATAACATATCGCTTCCTCATGAACTCACTGATGGTGAAACATGTTGTTTGCTGTTGAAAAGCACTAAAAGTGAGATAAGTTGATACTAAATTATATATATATATATATATATATATATATATATATATATATATATATATATATATATATATATATATATATATATATATATATATATATATATATATATATATATATATGCCTCATCAAAGTGGAAAATTTAAAACTTCAATTTTAGATTTGCCC